CATGGCAGCTGCAGGGCAGAGGTGATGGGGTGAGTCCTGAGGGATCCTGGAGACTTTGATGTGTAATGGACACTGTTTGAACTATTAGTGACTTGTTTGATTTTGCTTACTGTCTTAGATCCTTTATATATGTTACTGATAAAGTTTTGTATTCAAATATGTGTGATCAACACAAAAATCTTGAGAGCCATTGACAAGGAGCTTCTTGTTTCTCTTCTTTGAGAGCTAGTTTGTTGACTAGTATATATAATGTGAGGATCACCTTCATAAGGGTCTGTCCCATCTCTTTCTGACATTTTGAGCAAATTCACAGCTTTGGAACTATTTTGGGTAATGAAAAAAACAAAAACAGTGAAGTTTCATGAAGCTTGGAACGGATGTTTTACTCCCAGTGTTGGGAATTGAACCAAAGGCCTTGCACAAAGGCAACCACTTTGCCACAGAGGTGAATTCCTAAGATTTCAAACTGCATTTCAATGAACAAGGTTGAAGTCTATTGAACCAGTGAGAAGAATAGAAATGGCCTCATAGAGGAGCAGGGATTAAGAAGGTAAGTAGCCAGGTGCGTTACCAAAAAAATGCTGTGGGGACCATCTCCCCAGGATGCTGGCCTGGCACTCCAATGCCATCAGCATTCTCTGTCTTGCTTGAGGCTTTGAACCAGTTTATGACTCATAGGCAAAAGCAACCAACTGGAAGAGCCTGTGGCACACACTCAGATGCTTTGGGATCAGAGAACAGGGATAAAGAATATCTTCCTCCCCTTGGTTTGCTGGTAAAAGGCAGGACAGTTTCTTCTAATACAAAGAATGCTTAAATGCATGACAACTACAAACACAATTTTTCTGGAGAAGTTGGTAAATCCCGGGAGGACAGCAATGGCACCACCACACCCTGTTATCTAGCTTGCTTTCTCCTTTCTCTGTTTAGTTTGTTTGGTGTTGCTTACAGTTTCATTTTCACTAACTTGTTAGTGAAGTGTCTATTTGGTTTTGTTAATCCACATAGTGACTACATGTATTTGATTATTTTTGCTGCTTTACAAGTTGACATTAAAAAAAAAAAAAACAACATACAAAGTATCAGGTGTTCTTACTGTATTTTCCTAATATTTAATTTTGGTTGACCCTTCCTTCCCCTGCTTTTTTCTCCCTCATCTTCCTATTTACTTCACCCTCCTTAAAAGCCTCTTCCACCATCTCATAGGCCCTTTTCCACTTTTATGGCCTGTACCAACACTCACTTGCACATAAACACACATTTGTATAAATTAGAAGCTAGAATCTGAATTTGAAAGCCAATACACAGTGCTTTTTCTGAGCATGGCTCATCCCATTCGACACAATGTTTTAAAGTTCCATCCATATTTCTTCTTCACCAGTTGCATGCATGGATAAATGCTGATTTGCTTTCAAAATCCTAGCAGCATGCTGGAGAGTGCTCCTGCTATGTGGGGTAAGGATAAAATGGCACAGATAAGCCATTTCAAATTGCCCATTTCACCTTAGTGCACTTATTCACCTTGTAAAATTTTATAACTATGAAATCACACACTGAGAAAAAAATTATAGAACATAAATGAATGATTCAACAAAAATAATAGTGTGAATCCCTGAGGCACCCTTAGATAACAGCCTTAACTTTCTGTCTCCCCCTGCTTCATGATAGCCCAGTTCTGGCTTTTATCCTTCTAATGCTCATTCCCTTCTTTTTTTTCCTTTATCTTATCTTGCTTGAAACTGAATGTGAATCTCAACTGTAATAGTAGAAATTGTAACCCCAATTTCAAAGGAAAGGTGTGTGTGTTTGTGTGGATGTGTGTGTCTGTGTGTGTGATATGTACATATCTATGTGGTACATCATGTATGTGTGTGAGCATGCTTCTCTGTGTGGGTGAATGTTAGAAGAGAACATCGGTGTCCTGATCTGCCACTGTCCATCTTATTCCTCTTAGATAGGGTTTTTAACTGACCCAGGGTGTGAAGTGGCAGCCTCCTGTCTCTGCCCTCCACAGTGGCCATGCCAGGATTTCTTTCTGTGGGTGCTGCGATCTGAAATCTGAACCTCATGTTTGTGAACAAGTGTTCATACCCATTGAGACGTTTCTCCAGCTCCAAAGGGAACCATGAGGTTTGGTCTAGTCTTAACAGATGTTAATGACAGAAAGGAAATTATCTTATTTGTGAGCCACTAAAAGTTTGTTTTAGGAACAGCTATTAAATTTTGTCATATGCTTCTTCTGCATCTATTAAGATACAAATTTTTAAAAAGGGGTTTCACAAGTTACTTTAGGAATAAGACAGACAGATGTTGTTATAGTTTTCTTTCAGATTTTCTTAATTTTAGGATTTTCCAGCACATATGATGGAATATATAGTTTCAAAGGCACTTCAGAAGTTGACTAACATTACATTCTGTAACTCAGCTCATGAATCATCTCTACAGCATCTTCAGTATATGGCTGTTCACCGGTCTCTGCTTGAGTATATGCAGGGGTAGAAATTGTGCTACCCATTTGTTCTCTTCTCAGAAGAGTTCCAGTTCCCAAAAGAGACTTCTTATGATCAGCAGAGACACACCGCAGTGTCATTCATGACCTTTATAACGATCCCAGGGGATATTTAGAGGCAGCGTGCTTGTTGAGGAAGCACAAAGCCTTCAGGACTGTACAGATCTGAGTTCAGCCTCTGGCTTAGCTATTGATGAGGCAGGTGAATTTGAATATTGCAGCAGATGGTGGAACAGTCCCTAATGCCTCCCTTTCCCTAAAAGCTTCCCCTTTACAAAGGGTCTTGACAACTCCTCACCTTAGAGGTGGACTTTATTTCTACCTCTTCTTGTGTCTAGGTCAACTTTAGGCCTGACTTTCCAGTAAATGTATAGAAAGTGATGTTGGAAGAATTCTTCAGCCTGGCTCATAGAGAGCTACCTGTGCCTAGATCCTCTCGGGATGCTTCTCTGAGCATGTCACATAAGAAAAGTAGCCTAGCCTACCAGTGGTAAAAAAAAAGATGCTTGAAAGAGAAACAAGGTATTCCAGCCAATAACCTGCATCTGCCCCAGACACGCCAGTGGGGTCATCACATACCGCCCAGATGGACTCTAGTTGAATGTAGCTTCATGGGTGATCCCAGGGAAGACTTCCTGAAGCTCAACTGCCCAGCTGACCCACAAAATCATGGAGATTATAAATCTCCGCTGGCTTGAGCTGCTGACACACAGAAAAATTGAACAAAGATAAGCGCTACTGAATTAAAGATCCTGAGCTCCTGCTTCTTCCTTGTCAAATAGGAACAAACTTATTCATTAAATACATGGCTGCTAGTGAGAATTAATTAGTATAGACTACGCTGAGCCGGACAGATAGCTGATTGCATGTCAGGTACATTGTTAGAGCCAAATAAATGGTTGCTGTTATGTAGACCTTTAAAGCTAACATTCCCTTTTGGTTTTTAATTTTCCACAGTAAGTCCTTCTTCCGGGGCATTCCCTTGGGTAAGTGTTTACACTGCCGACCTCCGAATCACTGTCCTTTGGCTAGTCCCTCAATTTTGTTAACACCTCTTCTAAAATAGCATAACAGACGCCACCTGACCATTACCTGTAAAGGGCAATAATTTACTTTTTCAAAACTCAGGCATTTCTCTCATCTTATGCAGTTTGCCACTCAATCCAATTCCGGCTGCTCCAACTTAAACAGCTGTGAAATCAGGCCTCCTCCTCTGAACTTACACAGGTTTTTGTTTGTTTGTTTTTTAACTTAGAGGTGGACTCTATTTAACCTTCATATTTAACCTGTGGAAATTTCTGTTCATTTTTTTTTTTTGTTTTGTTCAATTGATTCCTCTAGTTAGATGATTATAGCTTTCATGTCCTCTTCATTAAAAATGTTAAGAGCTGGAAAAGAGATGGCTCAGTGGTAATGAGCACTCCCAGAAGACAGAAGACCCCTGTTTGGGTCCCAGAAACCTCACCAGACAAATGGCAACTGCCTGCAATTCCAGCTCCAGGGATCCAAAGCCTCTGGCCTCCTCGGGAACCTGCTCTCAGATACACATACATGCACACATGTACACACACATAATTACAAATGTAAAATAACATTAAGTGGGGCAGACAGCGAAGGAGCCTCAAGGCACAGCACTCAACACCTTTTCCTCATCTAGCACAGAGACAGTACACGTTATTAATAACTATATTATGGGCGATGCTATTTCACAACTTACAGGGTGCTTTCACACACATTAGCTCCTTGATACAGGATCCAATATGGCCAGTGGCAGTGTATGTCAATCTTACCTCTGTGGTAGTTTATACGAGCAGTAAAATTCTTTGCTAAAATCAAGATTCATCATATCTACTAATGTTCTGCTGAAATTTTTTTTTTTTATCGAGCAGCAAATATCGTAACATATTTTTTTTTTTGTTTTGTTTATGGGACTATGGTGAACATTAAAAAAATCCTATTATATATACATATACATAAAGGATCTATCTATGTCCTTTTTAGAGCAGTAGTCATAAGACAGTAAATCAGTTTGTCGTTAAACTCTTTTGAGAAGTCAAAGGGATGACAGATTCTTCCCAAAAGAATTTTCATTATGACCCAAATGTGAAAACATAAATGAGAATTTTAGATGCTTTTATTTTCAGAAGGGAGTCTGTGTGTGAGAGAACCTGTTTCCCCTCAAAGCAGGTGTAGCTGGCTCTGGGGTTTAATTTGTTGAACACTTTTTTACCTTGGGTAGGAGTGGGGGATCAAGAGTCCATTGCTTTCCTTCCCTGCTTTTCCTTTTTTGTTCAGCTACCCTCCTAAGCACTGAGTGTGCTCCCTACGTCCCGGATTTCTCGGGAGACTTGGGAGACAACTTCAAGAGCTGGAGGAACACACCGGGAAGTACATACCGCCTAGACCGGTGACGGAACCGATCTGCTCCTAAACTCAGTGCTGCGCAGGCGCAGCGACCAGAAAGGTCCCCAGCCGGCCTCTCCGGTATGCGGCTGCGCGCTGGTCGAAGCGCTCCCGGAAGCAATGTGCTGAGCTCGCGCCACGTCTCTCCAGGGGGCTCCTCCCAGCTCCCTGCTGTCTCTGTCTTCCAGCCGGGGATCAGCGGACCAGGCCCAGAGCATCATGGGCAACAAAGGTCCGCGCGCTTCATCCTTCCAGATGCTGCTGCTGCTGCTTCTGCTCCTGATCCGGGCCGAGCGACTGTGGGGCGCTGAGCTCACCTTCGAGCTGCCGGACAATGCCAAACAGTGCTTCCACGAAGAGGTGGAGCAGGGCGTGAAGTTCTCTCTGGATTACCAGGTGCGGTCCTAGCCGCGTCTCACTCGGCCACTGGCGCGCCGCCATCCGGAGAGGTCAAGATTAGCCACCAGAGGCTGCTGCGGGTGGGGGATGGGGGAAAACCTAGACCAGTTGACTTCTCCCTAAAAAGAAAAGAGCCCACCCGAAGTGGGCCAGGGTGGTTGAGGAGTTAGGCTGGCTACAGGTGCGCGCCTAGGGTGGGGAGGCCTGTCCCGCCCATACACAGGAATGACCTCCCCATGAACCTTCCACTCTATGAACGCCAATATTAATTAGCTGGGCACAGGCTGACAGTCTGTCTCAACTGTCTCTTGGGCTGCTTATCTTGCAGGTGCTGAAGCCAGCAGCATCAGTTGGAGTTGGGGTGAGCTAGCAGGAGTTTAAGTTTTTTTTTTTTTTTTTTTTGGAAAGGAAGGTTCAGGGCAGACTTTGAGCCCTGGTAGTGTTCATCAGGAAACTCGTCTCTCCTTTCCCCCGTGGCGTGGCTACCTGGCTTTCCTCTTTTCTTACCATATGGCTCTGCGAAGTCCCCTAGGGTTAGTGAGCAGGTCTAGGGGTGGAGGGATGAGTGAGCAAGACTTCTAGAAATGAGATGACATGGACAGTCCAGATGGTGCACACTTCTGCGGTGGAAGCTCTGAAGGATGCTTCTGCTTGAACACAACAACACAACCTCACCAGGAGTCACTGGTGAGGCCTCTCTCACATCTGTGAACAACATGCAGACTGTGTGTAGGTGCCTGCCTCAGCACAGGCAGCCTAGGAACAAGAATAGCGTTCTTAATGATGTGGCCAGGGAGGCTCCAGAAGCCATTGGGGGTAGGCATTCCCCACCAACGGGGAAGTCTATCATCATTAAGGAGACAGGCCTCTGCCATGTCTGGGAGGGGGTTTCTAGGTTAGATTGAAGTGGGATGAGCCACTCTTAAGTGTGGGTACCACCATTCCTTGGGTTGGGGTCCCAGGCTGAATAAAAAGGAGAAAGCCAGCTGAACCTCAGTATTCATCTCTTCTGCATCCAGACTCTGGATGCCGTGTGACCAGCTGTCTCGTGCTCCTGACCCTGTGCCTTCTCCCCGTGCCATGATGAGCTGTACCCTCAGATTTATTTGTGAGCCAGAATAAACCCTTCTCTCCTTGAATCGCTTTTGTCAAGTGTTTTGTCATGGTGACAAGGAGAATATTGAGCACAGTGTGGCCACTGCCTCTTATTTAACTGCTCAACCTTGGCAAAATGGGAAGTGCCATGGCATTTGTGTTGCTACATGGTGAAGGTTAAAGGATAGAATGCTTAGTACGGTCACTGTTACCGTCAGCATTTCGAAGCCTTGGTTGCCCCGAAGTAACAGCATACTTTCTGTGGTTGCCAGGTTATCACGGGAGGCCACTACGATGTGGACTGCTATGTGGAGGACCCCATGGGAAACGTCATCTACAGGGAGACCAAGAAGCAGTACGACAGCTTCACGTACAGGACGGAGGTCAAGGGCGTTTATCGGTTTTGCTTCAGTAACGAGTTTTCCACCTTCTCTCACAAGACCGTCTACTTTGACTTTCGAGTGGGTGATGAGCCCCCCATTCTCCCAGACATGGGGAACAGGGTCACAGCTCTCACCCAGGTGAGTGGGCACGACAGCAATGAAGCTAATGGAACCCTCCTGCTCTCACCATATTCCTGCTTTTCTGTCCTTGTCTTAGCTGATGAGCAAGAATCACCATCTAGCCGTAAAGGACTTCGTTCCCCTTCTGGTCTCCTGTTTTTAGCCAGAGCCCTCTCATATGTGATGCTTTTCCTCTCCGCCATGCCAACAGTCTTTCTCTGGCTCAGCACCTCTTTCAAAATGATGTCATGTACCTGTTTGCTGTGTGATATACTCAGATCATGAGAACCCAAGTCCTGCTTTAGGAGTGTGTTGGTGAGGGTAACACAAGCTGCCATAATATCCACATGTCAGTACAGTGGGGGTCTCTTCTCAGAATGGTCAGGAAAAGGCTGGATGGCGACTTGGGAATCCAGGCTCTTTCTTTTCTTTTTCTCCCCTCCCTTCCTTCCTTCCTTCCTTCCTTCCTTCCTTCCTTCCTTCCTTCCT